ATCTCACAGCTTCTCATTAAACACATATCATCCAGAGTAGGGTGAAGAATAAAAACAAGAAAACACACCAGAATATGAACTCAAATGTGTGCCATCCTTTGGGGTGGACTTGAGGGGGCCACACAACATCCAGAAATGTAGACACTGCCTGTCTCTTTTTAAACATTTTTATTTATTTTATTATTTTTATTTTTTAAAGATTTTCAATTACAGTTGACATTTAATATTGTTTTTTATTAGTTTCAGGTGTACAGCATAGTGGTTATACATTTACACATAATTTATAAAGTGATCCTCTGATAAGTCTGTTTTCCTATAGGACACGAATTGATATTATTATTTGTTGTATCGCCAGGGTCCATCACAAAGCCAGGTATATAGTAGGTGCTCAATAAACATTTGTTGAATTGGACTGGTGAAGTGATAACTGGTTTATCTATCCTCCTGATTCCATCTATTAAGGACAGAGAAGGGAAGGAAATGAACACATCATTGAACACTTACTATGTACACTCTCATACATTATGTCATTTCATTCTCACAACTCCAAGTGAGTATTGATGGTCTCATTTTCATAGTGAGGAAAAGCGAGGCTCCAAGAAGTGAAATAATACTCCTAAGGTTAAACAGCTAGTGAGTGATGGGGGTGGGCTTTCCCTCCAAAACCCATGTTCTTTCTAGGCCAGCAGACCACGAGTGTGGGAGGAGGCAGTGCATCAGAGGGAAGCCACCAGGCAGGAATGTTGGCTGATATTTTCTCAAATGTTCAACTCTCCTCAACAAAAACACTTTCCAGATGTTTCCAGGACCTGGCAAGTCTTCAGTCGAAAAGTGAGGGATAGTCCCACACCTGCATAAGAACGGAACTATATAGCGTGACCTCTCTGGATGCTTTTTAATTTGTCCAAAGGCCACCTGGCAGAACCGTTGTTTTAGCTGCACTGAAGCCTCCCAGGCAATGCTTACTGTGAGGCAATATCTTTACCCCATCCAAGTCCTAGGTCATGGTGGGTGTTATGAGTCGAATTGTGTCCCCTAAAAAAACATGTTGAAGTCCTAACCCCCAGTACCTGTTAATGTGAGCTTATTTGGAAATAGGGTCTTTGCTGATGTAATCAAGTTAAGATGCCATCATACTGAGTGAAGGTAAGCCCTTAATTCAATGTGACTAGTGTCCTTCTAAGAGGAGGGAAATTTGAGCCCAGACACCAACATGGAAGAGAAGGCTGTGTGAAGACAGAGCAGAGACTGGAGTTGCAGCTGCAAGCTGCAAGGATTTAAGGCCACCACCAGAGGCTAGGCAGTAGCAAGGACAGATTGTACCCAGTCTCAGAGAGAGCATGGCCCTACTGATACCTTGATGTCAGGTTTCTTGGCTCCAGAACTGTGAAGAAATAAATTTCTGATGTTTTCAACCCAGCTTGTATTACTTTGTTAAGGCAGCCCTAGGAAACTAATGGAGAGGGCTCTTCTGGGCAGCCTCCAAGTTCCAGAGCCTGGTGGGTAGCCATCAGCTAGGTAGGCCACACATTTCATCGGTCAGGACACCACTGCTCCCCAGCCGCCCCTTCCACCCGTCCCTGTTCCTGGACGCATATCTCCCCAGTGGGCTTTTCATTCAGCTATTAGCTCTAAACATGCTTCATAAGTTTGAAAAATACAATTTTCTGTTAACATAAGCACCGATATCCTGGCTACTATTTATACACTTCCCCAGTGTAGGTGGAGGATTTAGAACATTAGCTCCACTCTAGGTCTGGAGAACAGAGGCACTTGAGACTTTGTGTGGTGCACAGAGAGGAGTAGGAAACGAGAACACAGGCTTCAGACTCAAACAGTTCAAATTCGAGCTCTGCTCGCTGCCAGGTGTGTGACTTTGGAAAGCCACCTGATCTCAAAGCCTTGGTGTCCTCATCTACAGTATGAGAAAAATAACACCCACACCATGGGGTTGTTATGAGGATTAGTGAGATAATGCACATGAAGCGTCTGACACATAGAAAGTAACCAATAAATATTATTACTATTACTTTTGTCATCATTGTTGGTATTATTTCATCTTTATTATCAACTTCTCTGAAATGGGACAGTCCACACCATGAATTACAGTATTATATAAGGGGAGAAACGTAGAGAGAGTCAGGAATGAGGGGAAAGAAATCCACCGACTTGTCTGCCCAGTTCATACTTCTATTTTCTGAGAACAGCCCCTCCCATGATAAGAGGTGCTGTATAAATGGCATGCGTTATTACTTTTTTAAAATTGCTGTTTATGAGGTCACATGTCTGAACCAGATCAGTGTCATTAACAGGTCGTCTGTCCCAGTCAAGGTCAAAGTTGCAGGTACCTCTTGGTAAACTGGATTATTGTTCCCAATCTTCACTCTCCTGTCATAAGATTATCTGTCTACACCCTATTCTATGCAAGGTGCACTTCCTCCCGCTGTGGGCAGAGAAGACTTTCTGCATGACTTGTCCATGGGATGTCAGCAGACATAACTTGAACAGTGGGTCTCTCTTATTCTTTTGCATTCCTGATAATACCTATTGAACACTTTGTATGTGCTGGGCACTGCTCCTCATTATGTTATTGAATTGTCCCACTCTGTAGGATAGGTACTATTTCTGTGCCAATTTTTACGCATAAGACAACTGAGGCCAAGAGAGATTAAGTAGCTCCCCTCAAGTTACACCACTATGGACCCACGACTGAACCCAGGCAGTCTGGCATGCTTGACCACCATACTTCACCACGTCATCTCATCACCTGAATAGGTTGACATAAATTTCTCCATCCACAGACAACCCTCCCCCCAAAAAACATCTGTTTCTTTCTTTTTCTTTTTCTTTTTAAACAGACAATGTGTCAGACACCACACTATGTGCTTTATATACCTTGTCCCTCATTCCTACAACTTCCTCATGGCTTTTATGGATGAGGAGACTGAAACTCAGGAAACCTAAGTGGCTTACCGAAGTCACACAGCTAGTAAGTAGAACTAGAATTCGACCCCAGATCTTGAATATCTGAGCCCTAAATCTGTACTCTTTGCATCTTCTCACTATACCACACTGTCTCTTCCCTCTGCATATATATTATGGGGGGGGGAAGGGGGGCTCTGTTTCTCTGGATCTAAAATGGAATAATCAGTTTGGAATCTAGAATCGAGAATTTGTATCCTCCACCCACACTGGAGAAGTGTGCTGAGAACAGTAGCAATTGTATCTAGGCTTGATCAAAAGTTCATGTTAACCAAAAATTTGTACTATTTTTCCAATACAAGGGGAAGGTTCTGGGAATGTAATGAAATGAAGATTTTGCAAGTCTTAGTAAGAGTGGAAGGTTGAGGATCAGTGAAGACCAAACACTGGAGTTGGAAAGCATCCTGGGGGAAGCATCGTGTGGAGATGTGAATCGTCTGGTCTGACCAATATGGGGTGGGTGTTAGGGAGTCAAGGTGTCCTGGGCATGGGAAGGGTCCATTTTTCTAAGCCAGTGGTCCAGGCACCAGCCTCTGGTATGTGGTGGCTTTAAGAAATGAACAGCCATGGCCCAGGAATAGGATGGGGGTGCCCAAGTTCCCTTCCAACCTATAGTAAAGTGAAGCCATTTATTCTACAAATATTTATCAGATAAACCAGGCAGTCTGAGACAATAGCAATTTGAGCATTTCTTTCTGTCAGTAAGTTAGCTTTGGCACATTGCAGCAGGCCTGTGTGTACCATGTGCCTGGTTGAACACTTCAGTAAATAGACCCTCCCTGCCCCTTGAGTGCTGTCAGTCCTGGAGAACAAATCCTTCTTTCCGAAGGATTTTGCATGCAATATGTGAAAACTATCAGCTAAACCAAACCCAAGGCTTCAACTAAACTTCCGAATTTAGAAGCCAAAGAACAGCCTTTCTACCACTGGTGTGGGGAAGCTCCACGATACATCATGTAAAATAAATATGGTGTAAACTGTGTTACTCTTGTGAGAAAGCAGAAGAAAATGAAAATAATATTCATACTTGCTTGTATATACATAAAGAAACTCTGGAAGAATGTATGAGCAACTAGTAACAGTGAATATATCTGGAAGAGGGCATGGGTAGGACTGGGTGAATGGAGGTGGGGGTGGGAAGAATATTTCATTACATACTTTTTTTTTNTCCCAAGCCAGTTCTTAACCATCGCACCACTCGGCCGGCCCACTAAGATAATTCTTGATTGTAACATTCATTCTGATGCATCTCAATAATGACGGTGTCATCTGGAGACAGGAGACCTGACTTCCAGTCCCAGTCCTGATGCTAGCTCCGTGACCTTGGTAGGGTACTTTTCTGAATGTTGGTTTCCTCATCTTTGGAAGTGTGAGGTGGGGCTGGTGGCCTCCGAGGTCACTGGCAGCGCTAACATTCTCTAGGTCAAACTCCTTTTGTGCTTTGTGTCAGTAGGCATGTCTGTGGTCCCTGGAAATCAGTACACGCCAGGATTTCCAGGCCTCTGACAATTCTTGTGGAACCCTGTAACTTTTTTCCCATGGAAGTTTCTGTTTAATTCCTGCCCTCTTGAGTACCAGACATCTTCCTGGCTTTCATTCCTTCCCCATAAAAGTCTGTCTTCAGGAAAGGACATGATAATTATGTGCACGCTGTGTATCAGTTACTAAAGGGAGAGGAGGAGTTGCTTCTGAATAAAAGAAAGAAGCTTTGAACTTAAGTAGTGGAGCCCTAATTGTGGAATTTTAACTGGACTGTTGAAGGAGAAGATGTTTGGGAGTGAGCACCCTAAGAACACAGAGGCTTGTCTTATCCCTGATGCCTAAATTTCCACAATTAGCAAGTGAGTTTCTTTTGCTAAAACTATTGAGGGTCTCCTCCCCACAAAAGTAATGTATTAGAATTCAGAAGTCATTCAGGCCTTGGTTGGATGGAGCTATTCAGATCCCATTTTCAATGCCTTTCCAATAAGGATGGGAGGGCAGAAGGCTAGGGGACTTAACAGCTAAGGTATGTGAGAGGAATGTCCTGAAGGAAAAAACCAAAGGGCACACTTGGGACTCCAGAAAATAAACTTCAATATTACACAATTTTGGAAAGGGCCTGGCTTATAATGGGAACTCCTGGTAAGGAGGAACGGGACCCAGTGAAAGAATCAGAAGTAATCCTAGACATATTAGAACAGCATGGACCTTTAGAGATAAAACAAAAGAGGCTGTGTTGAGTCACTCCATAAAGATGGGATGTACTCCCACCCAAAATTTGGTTCAGATGATGGGACTGATGTCACCACACATGCAGCAAGAAGGTATTTTAAAAGGTTTTACTCACATGATGAGGCTTTCTAAGGGGATCAGGGCAGGCTCCCAAGATCTGAAAATGGTATGGGATTTTATGGTGGTTAGGGAGTGGGGCCATGGTCAGGTCTCCTGCCAGGGTCAGGGCTCCTGGCAAGGGCATGTATAACTAGAACT